GCCCAATACACACAGTTTCTGTCCTTCCAAAGAGTTCTCTCCTGCTCCCTTCTAGGCAGCTTCCCGCCCGCCCGAGGCAGCCACTGTGATGCACAGTGGTACCATGGGTTACTTTTTCTACAACTTTGTACCAATGGAACCCCACAGCGTGCACTCTTTTGTGTTAGGCCCCCTTCACTCAAAATAAAACTTCTGAGATTAATCCATGTTCTGTGTATCAGGTGTTCATTCTTCTTTATTCCTGCATGCGGCAGGCAGGCAAGTGGTTAGGAGCCAGTGGTTCCAGATTATAAGATGGACATCCCCCAAGGGGTCCCAGATTGGAGAGGATTCAGGCTGGGCTGAGGGACCCCCCCTGCCAATGCACAAATTTCACTCACCAGGCCTCTAGTTTTATTATAACTCCAAGTCCTCACTTTCTCCAAAGTCCTTTCCCATCCAGAGCTTCTGAGGGTTAGTATTTCTAAATGAAGCGTTGCCATGATTTTCCTTAGCAGAAAGGAGAGGTGTCCTTGGTGCCACTCACAATGCCTGGTTGGCCTGCTGCTCGTTACTGGTGCCTAACACACTAAGGAGCTTGCTTCAGAATACAGGCCAGAGCTCCGCCTCCATCAGGAACGTCTTGCTATGAGAACAACGTTGGCTGAATCACACAGTGTGCATAGTGGTGGAGTTGATTTTACACTTCGCTGTGCGTCCTTATTTCCTCCTGAGCTGGTTACAGACATCTGGGGGAGTGGGGCAGACTACCCTTGGAAGAGCAGCCAGCAGACCATCCTTCCCTCACCCAGGACTGGGTTTTCTCTTCTCCCTCCAGGGAACCATCGAGGAACATCCTGCGGAAAGACCTGCCGGGAAGACCGGGATGATGAGTGGATGGGGGTGAGCCTGGCCCGGCAGCCCAGGGCCGATGGCCGAGTTCTGGTAAGGCTTCCCGGTGGCAGGGGTGGGTGGGGGGTGGGGGTGCTGCAGGGAGGGCTGGCACTCTGAGCGTGAGTGACTTTGATCTCTTGGGAAAGCTGGGTGGCATGGTGACAAGGGCTTGGCTCTGATGTTGTCTAAACTGGACTGCTGTTTGGACAAATGACTGATCTCCATCTGTCAGATAAATAATGTCTGTCCCAGGGTGCAGAGAGGTGGCAGTGGAAACATAAACAAAATGTATGGGAAAAGTACTTTGTAAATCTTGTTCACAAATATTTGTGCGAGTCTTTTTAAGTTGAAGTTAATTTACATAAAATGCACAGATCTTAAGATTGCAGTTTGGGTTGTGACAATCGTGCACACTTGTGTAAC